GATTCTATTTCTCTACAGACAATACGAAAATATGCACTAAGGTCCAAACGATTTATGGATTGCTATAGGAAGGAATTGGAGGGACGACAGTCCAATAAAAAAATATAAGAGTCACAGAACGGTTCCTGAAACGATTTTTGAATAAAATTAATCATTGACATTTTAGTAATGATTTTTGATGCGTACTTGTGTCCCCACCATACGACGTTTGGACGAGGCTGCGGAATATTAGGCAACATTGCACACAAAACCCGCCGATATGGTCGAATTCTGGTACCTTAGCTACCATTTGGTACCCTTATCTCAGTACCTAGTACAGTAAAACGATAGTTATTTAAGCAGCGCGAATTTCCTCTCCAAACGATATCTTCAATTATATCTTCAGATTTATCTTCAGTTCAATTCAGTTCCTTTTATTTCTTAAATTGTCCTTTTAGAATAGCTTTTCGTATTCTAATAAAAGTCAAGTTTATAAATCGTTCGATCCTGAGGTTTTAGATTTATACTTATTGACTAGGTTAAAGTGGAAACCGCTTTCTGGGACCTAGTTCAGCGTTTCAGTTCTTGCTACTGAACCTGTATAATATCGACCTTAAGATTATTGTTTATTTGAGGGTGCGCATAGTGTAGAAAACTTTCCCGATCGACTAGATTTCAGTTGGAATCCCAACTAATCATAATAATAAGCGATTATTTCAACTCAAGGATAAATACTAATCTACTGGAAAGCGTATACGACGTCGCCTGCGAGTGTAGCATCACGACACTGTAGTTTCGTCAATAGTTAAGCCGGGAATAATCGCGTTTAATTGAACCCATATTTACCATTATGGTTCTGTTATAGAACGATTTTGGCATTCAAGTTAATGGTAAGTGAAGTTCCAAACTTTATTTATGACATACAAACAACCTGCAACAATTCTGCTCAACTACATTTTACCTCAATAGCTACTACCATCTTGATTGTATTAAATCAAAAGTAGTGATTGTATGGTTATGGTGCAAAGTAGCTTGATCAGAATTTTTCCCAACAACCAAACAATAATGATGGCTATCGTGTGGAAAATTGCTCCAAGCAGCACTTGTCCCCTCCACACAAAAATCAATCACTGCCCAATTCTTCATCTTTAATTGACCATATCTTTTGTTAGGCTGAAATCTTTCAGAATGTTCTCTAAGTCTCTTTCCATCCCTAATACTAAGGAGTTCAAAAGCCCATTGAAACTGGCCATTCAGGTAAAAGTCAACTGCCCCTGTGAACAGATCCTGATTAGGGAATTTGGAAAGCCACACAATGACATTAATATTTTCTTACCTTTCACACCAAAGTAGGTACCAACATCACAGCTTAACCTTGCTGGCATAACCATCCATGCTCTGCAATAGAATTCATTCAGATATATTCTCTCTATATAAGTCCCATCCACACTCTTAGAGTAAGTTGATCTCAATAAACTTCCATCAAGTTTTTTCAGTACATTGAACACAAATTGCGATATTCCCTGCTGATTGATTTCAGGTGACAATAATGGTGCTGAATTGGGATAAATAAAAGTCCTGATATACTCTTTGCGATAGAATTGTTCTACAACTGGGCAACTGAAAGATAGAGATGACCCATTCTCATTGAACATTCCAATATTTAAGAGAGAAGTTAATATAGCATTGTCAATGGCATCCAAAGCTATGTGGCCATTTTGAATAACTTCCTGGAGAATACTTTGTAAATCATTCAGGCTGACAAGTTCTTTCAAGTATGATACACTTGCAAAAGCTCGAGAATTTTCTAATTGCTTTGTAAGTTGCCCATCTGAAATAAATTGCAATGCTTCAGATTCAATGTCTCCCACCCAATCTTTAGAAGCTTTTGTAAGTTCTTCCAATGCCAAATGGCATAAGCCTGTGTGTCCACCCATTGCTCTCCATATTGCATCTGTAAAAGTCTGTGACAGCACCAGCTTTTTATGATCACCTTCTGAATATTTCTTAAACTCAGCAACCAGTTCTGTATACTCTTCATGGTTCAGAACAATATCCTTGAAGTAATCTTGGAAGTAAAACAACTTGGGGAGGCCATGTTGCCCAATCGGCTTGCCTGAACACCATATGTGGATGTTGCAAGGAGACCACAAAGTTGTTGATGACAGAAACCAGACTGGACAGCCTGGAATTTGAACCTCATCCAAAACTCCTAAATTATAAATGTAAATGGTGAAATCAAAGGATCATTAGCCATGGGAAAGGAAAACAGACAAAACCTGTCATAGACAGACCTCCAAGTGATATATGGTATGAGCATCATCAATGATCAATAGAGTATTAGAATCTGTAACTAGATTCATCCACTCCACTGCTATCATTTTTTGAATATATGAGGAAAATATGTCAATTTCTGCTTGCAATCCAATCTTCAGGCATGCATTGCGATGTGCAACATATCCAGCAAAGGAGATGCCAATAACTTTAAGACCTCTTTCAGTGGCAACCATTGCTACTAACTGAGCTAATGCTGTCTTTCCCGAAAATGGTGGTGCTGATATCAGAACTTTGCCTGTCCTCGCAAGGTCAGTCAATATTTTCTCAGCCAAATTTCTTCGAAGAATGCGTTTTACTTTTGGTAAACCTTTGGAGTCATCTGATCCAAAAAAAGGAAAATTCCCTGGAATACACGTATAATAATAATCAAGATATAATCTCCAAAGAATATTACAGGGGTAGAATAAAATGGTCAGAGCACACTTTACATCAAGTGCTTACTACTACCCCATAACTCCTGTTATTCCTCTATTAACCTTGTCCTCTCCACTGCTCCACTAATGAGTTTACATATAAACCTAGCTCTGCTACGACTCTGCTCTGCCCCAACTAATAACGCCCGACTGCCTCTCCCCCGTTGCTCCTCTATCCTCCCAATAAACATGTGTTGCTTGCTTGCTTACCATGTGATCTGCGGTATTTTTCGTATGCATTGTTTGCTTCCTCGTAGGTCGCATAGTCTCCTCTGTATTTCCACATGAACTCGCCTTTAGTCATAACTCTTGCGTTCACGTCCATTGGGTCCATGTCTAGATGTGTTTCGTATGATTTAGTGAACGATAAAAGAAGAGTCGCGATCTGCGCCCGCCCAACTCAGCCCTGTTTATACGTTATTAGTTTCATATATTTTATTTTATATAGACATAATCCTATATTAAGCATATTGTAACTCAAGTAAAGTTTATCTCAATAAGGTTAAATTTTGGCATAATATAAACTTAAAAATGTAATTTATATTTACATAATTTGTGCATGAGCCAGCAGTTGTGAATAATCAAAACATCCAATTAGTTAACTTTTAGCCACACCAGCCTCTCATTTATGTCACATAACAGAATGTTCACTTTGTCTGGTTTTGTTGCAGTCTGCCCCAAATAGTAATTGACAGACATTTCAGTAATCGTATTATCTCTACCACAATCTCAAACAATAAAGAAATTTTTCCACTTTATTTGGCAAGAACGTACCTTATCTATATGTCAGATCTGTCAGGGAGGTAAGCTGATGGGAGCGCAAGGAATTATTTGTATTTTATATTAGGTTAAATTGGTGGCTTAAGGGGTCGTATTAACCGATATTTTACAATTATGCATGATAGCGCCTCATACTAAAAAATACCTGCTATTTATATTGCGCAATATAGACATTCAATTGTAAAAATATAGGCTCTTTGTATAAACGCTTTCGCATAAGAATATTAAATAACGAGTCACCTTTGCTAAATAATTCGCATCTGAATCAGATCAATAATTTACTGCGCGTTAATATTAAGAGAGAATGTTCTACCACACAACTTTGCCTCTGTTGATTTATTTGACGATTGACATACAGTGTGACATGACATTATTGATAATAAAAAAAAGAGACTATTGGTAGTTAACAACTGTACAAATTGTTATCAGTAATATCTTGTTTGATAACTTGTGACAAATAAATTTATTGAAAAATTTAATATGGATTTTGTTCTCTCCATTTTTTACAAGCTTACATCTACCTTTTGTTAAACTAACAAAATTGACATAATTTTTGAATTAAGCCCATTCCTCCGCTGAAGGAATTTTTTTTTGGACCCGTGTGTTTCCCCGGTGGGAGTGCACGCAATATTCCAGAAACTTTAAGACCATAAGCAAGGCCTGTCATTAACTTCGGAACCAAATAACTTGGGGCAAGTTAGGCCGTATGCTTGAATAATTATCTTGCTAAAACCAACATCCATTGCCCATCAAATCGTTGACTTCAGGAATATTTTCTAACCTTTTTTTCATAAGATTTTGGGCGTTTGAATCGTTATTATTTTTTTTATCAATAATTTTGTATCACACTGTAGGCACTTTTCTTCTTTGTGGATTTAAATGACTGCAAACTCTAATAAAACAAACTCATTATCATGATCAATTAATTTCTCTTCTGTTGATTATGCGTTTTGTGTCAGCATATTCTTTCGAGGCTTTGTCAAATAATGACTTTTCGCGGTTTTATTACACTGTTATGTCATCAAGTCGTGAGAATGTGCAATGATCAACAGGATGGTATACGAGCCATAGAAGGGTATATCCAACTCTGACTTCAAGTTGGTTTACTAATTGGTTTATATTTTAAGTCTTAAAGATGTTGTGAAATGATTATATCTGTGAGCATCCAGTTTGATGAATGTTAGGAATTTTGCCATTTTCCCGAAAAAAGTAAACATGACGTTCACAGGAACGAAAGGAATTCCCAGTTTGTTGTAGGCATCATTTGAGTGTAAAATCATATGTTTAAGCTCCTTTTGGGTGAGTATAACTATCTATCTTGAACCGTTTTCCGCAGGAGTTGATGCATTTACCAACGATAAAACCGCTCTGACGTGGCCTTAATGGAATTAAGTAACAAGAATATTTGCTTATGACGGCTTTGGTATTTTACAGACACTATGTATAGTACATTGAATGTAGCAAATGCAAAAATTTATAATAAATAATTAGGAAGAAGATATTAATATGTGTGCGTATTGTTGGACAATTTAGTAAAACAGTCATATGATTAGATAAAACATAAAGCTACAAATCATAAATCACATGAATAATACTCATGAATAGTACTCATTAATAGTAATTGTAGTCTTAGTTTTTAGAATGCCAGGCGACGACAACGTAATAAATATAAGTAGCGCTTCGGTAAGTATTCAAAGATCCGTCTATTTCTGCCTACATACTCTAGTCTTACACACACTCTCTTCAATCCATAAGGTGCTAGATCTCAAAGCAGAACTCTATAAGAAAGAAGAAGAATTCAAGAAACAAAAGGCAGCAGCCGCCGGTCAGGCCATTACCTCAGTCGCCAAGAAAGTTACAAAAGTGAGTTATTTTTCCTGATCGACTCTAATTAGCTATCAAAAACTCAAATAATACGCTTCTTAATTTATGTAGAAGGAAGGAATATGGTCAAGACAAAATAAGGGCGTTGCCGAACGAGCAACACGCGACAAGGTTGTTCTAGACGAAGTGGAAGGATCAAGTCTTGAAGCCAGCCGTAAAGCCATGGAGAGGAAAGCAAAGCTGTATGACAAGCTACGAAAGCATGGAATTGAGGGTACTATTCAAACTTGGGTTTAGGCCGCTTATTCGAACAATTGTCGATTTTCGACTAATTTCAAATGCGAATCTTCCATAGACGACACTCTTGCCGAAGAAGTGTTAGTAGACTTTGACAGCAAGCCCCGGGATGATTCTTCTGTAAGTTCAAACATTACATCTAGCGTACGTGATTTGCATGACCATTTATTGATAATTTTAGTATTTGAATCCAACTATTAGGATGCTGACGAAGGCGCTGAGAAAAAAGATGATCAATCTGTTAATGATCCTTGGGTGGAGTATGTCGACGAATTTGGCCGTACACGGGTAGTAAGAAAGAGTGAACTACCTGAAGACTTGCCGTCGCAGTCTGGGTAAGAATCGAACATTGAAACGCACATAGCATGCAGTATGTGTCGTTACGATTGACGAAAAGTTATTGGTAGAAACAAGATGTGCCGATTGTCTTTCTCATTGATAGTTTTTCCAATAGTAGCTCTGAAGACGAGGAAGATTCGAGAATTGATGAAGAACAGCGTAGATGGGAACAGGCAGCACTGTCCGAGTTGAAGAGTATGCAAAGCTAATAATTACTTGTGGGTGTTACGTGTTAAGAAAAACGAGACTAATTTTGTTTGAACAGGTGGACCGACACATTATTATGACACAAGGGGTAAGTTGTTATCGTAACCAAAAAAACCAACAACTTATTTTGCCGTTTTATACTAATTATGTTATTTTTTCTACAGAAATTCGCACAAGGGGTGTCGGTTTCTATCGATTTTCCCGGGACGAAGCAGAACGACAAACACAGATGCAAGCATTGAAAGAAATGCGTCAAGAGGTACCAATTATTCCCGCTCGGATTCAACTGATTTCAATACTCTTCTGACTATATTTTCTTTCAATTCAGACCGAAGGGAAACGTGCACTTAGACAAACAATAAAACAAAAACGAAAATCTTTACTAGATGAACGTTTAGCGTTAATCAGGGCTCATAAGAGACAGACTAGGTCAAAGCCTGCAGATGATCAACATTCATCAAACACTAGTATGAATATAACGGATGATTCCGGCAAAGGCGGTAAAAGTGTTGAAGCAACATCAAACGAAGTTGTCGGGCCCGCTATGGATCAACTAGTAACCGAGCGTGCAGTAAATGAATTGCTGTCAAACATTCGCCGGAAAGTTGAATCGGGGATGTGATCGGTAATATTGAGAAGATCTTACAGTCACCGTATGCTTGGTTATTATAACATATTTCTTGTTATAATAATCTATTGTGGCCACTCTGGGGAATTACTAATACTAATGTCGAACATTTGGTTAAAAAATACCACACTTATTTCAGGTAAAATACAGTGTTAGCTTTAGTTAATTTGAGCTGTAACGCACATTTTTTGTTAAAATTTGCCTCTTGAATAGAAGTGTCAGAAACTCTTATCGTATGAGGAGCTTTACTAAAAATATTTTTGATCGGAAGTTCTATGTTATCGCTTCCCAAATTATGTTTCCGATGATGCAGGCTTTTTTCCGAGCAGTTTGTATTCGACGCGTATTGGTGTTGCACGTCTCGAGTATTTCATATTGACAGAACTGTCCAACTGGAGAAAACCTGTATTCGTACGTGTTGAACTGAGCGTTATTAGTGAAAGACTTTCAGTCGTACCAACTGAGAACAGATGTTTTAATTTTCTAGAGTATTATTTCATTTTGGAATAACGAGCGGGCTTCAAACACGGCATTTCAATGCCAAAGTACGACCTAAGTACCTCTGTTGTAGCATCAAAGATACGTTGATTTAATATTTTATTGTGCAGATAAAATTGTTGAGGAAAAAGGTCTATACAAAATGAAAAGAGCTATCGTAAAATTGCTTGCCATGCTCTCCTGTTAGTCTGTGGAGTCTCACGGTTCTTCTTTATGTTTACAATAGACTGCTGTAAGTACGATAACATTTCTCACTTTCCAATTTTCATAAAACAATTTCCATCACGCTTCTTAGCGAGTCGTTACGCGTTCATGATATGGAAGAAAAATCTGTTGGTATGTATGAATTAAAATCACACTCGTTATTGGTATAGGTGTCGGGCTACAAAGCGATATAAAAACAAAAAGATTGTATGCTCGAAAATGAGCGCGGTTTACGCGAAAGGAATTAATGGTGATAGAACACGTTGACTTAAAACACTTACAAAACGTAATTACGCCAGACAGAAGTCTTTCGTTGTATACTGAATTTTGCTAAGCTCCGCTGACTATGCGGACTATTAATTCTGAATGCGACATTGTGTTGGTCCATTAATCGCGCGTTTTTCCAAGCCCATTCTTTGCCACTGTCATCTAGAGTATGTGAATGAGTTTTTCGGTTATTGTAGTGACTTCTGACTATTAAATGGGATATGCATATTTTCTTAGCCCAACTAAGTGCTGGCAAGCTATTATCTTCGACTTCTGTTCTAACTGCAGACCTAGCGCAGCTGATTGTAAACCGTGCATCTAAATATAATTCTCGGTTAACGCAAGTAACTTAATCTAGGTAATATTGATGTCAGCATAAAGCGCGACTTGTTTTTAAAATATTTTAGAACTTTACCGTTAAAGCGTAACTTGTTGGGTCGTGGAAATGATAATGACGATAACGTTACACTAATTGTTCTCCTTCCGGAAACAATCAGATACGAAGTATGTCTATAATATGCTTTCCTTTCGAAAGGTGCCAATACTTATTGTAAATCCAATTAAACAAGAAAATACTCTGATAATTCCTTATGACCACAAACACGCCACACAGGATATTCCACGTTCATAATAACAGAAAAATTGTAATATCTCCAGCCACACCAGCCTCATTCAGCGCTTGCATGCTCCATATATGTCACGAAGTATTATTGTTCTGCAAATTATTGGCCTGTGTAACAGGGATGTTGTTAGTACGTCCCAATTGAAACTCGGATCGTTCATGGTAGTCTTGTTGGATTTAACATACTCAGGCGAGGAACTCCCTGAGTCTGTTGCATGACTAATGTTGATATTTCACATTCGATGTCAAGAAAGTGAGTTATTTGCTTGAAAGTATTATCATCAAACGACTTTCGATATGACCACATTTGGTTGTTTAGTAGGGGTTTCTGGCAAAAACACACATCTAGCGTCCCTGGCAGGTATGTTGAATGGTGTGATATGGAGGTGAAGTTGAATCTATGATCACAATTGTCTAATTACGTGTTTTGTTAGTATTAAGGCAGTCGATTCTAATAGAGGACTGACTACTGTTGTTCTTGGAGGGCAGTACTCTTATGGTGATTTCATAAACACCGATGCTGATAGTAATATATTGTATGTTTGCTTCTTCCATGTCAATGGGCATATCCCTAGTCATAACTGTTTCTTTGTTTTACTGAATCGACTTTTTGTTTTTAGACAATCTCAATTGCCTACTTCAATGCATATTTCCACTCGGTCTGTATCGCCCAATCCATCTCCCCATAATTTCTCGGAATATCTCTCGTCCACCAACGATGTTTGGAATGACAGATCAGATGACGAAGATCTTCCCGTTGATTTCTCGGAAGGAAGTGATCTGAGAAATGACAAAAAGAGTAGTGCATTCAAGTCGGAGTCTTATAAAAAGGATACCGACAGTAGTTCTAGTGGAATTCAGACTATTATCAACTCTGATGGCGTCAAGGCAGAAGTTAAGCAAATTGTAGAAGGTAAAGGAAGACGTTTATATTATGGTTGTTCAAACGCTGTATTTGGTCATATTCTGATTTTATGAATCGCGAATCTTGACAGATCCAATGAATTTAATCAAATTTATTAATTCAATAAAAATGTCGCCTGAGGATCTTGAAAGGCAGAGTGATGCCGAAATATTAGACATTAATGCACGTATTACAAAATTTAATAAATTCAAAGACGTCCTCCAGAGTCCGAACGTGGATTTGGGTTAGTAAAACATGCTATGTGTGTTAACTTTTGCGCGAAAATTTGGTTCCATTGGCTAATTCTCGATATCAACCGTCATTACAGTTGCTTTACGTAATTTAAGTTGGTCTGGTATACCAGATGAGTTGAGACCCGTAGCATGGCAACTGCTTCTCGTATGTTATGTTGCCAAATACTCGGTCACTGTTTACTAGTATATTACGTTAAAGTTTTCATAATACATTTTACCATTCTCTTTAGGGTTATTTGCCTTGTAATTCAGACAGAAGAGTCGCTACGCTAGCTCGCAAACGCAAAGAATATGAAGACAGTGTATCACAGGCGTATGCTAAGGGTATAGCGGGATTAGACCAGTCAATTTGGCATCAGGTGGGATAATATGTTAATATTCCGACATACTCATAGATACCGCAATTATTATACACCTTTTGTTATTAATACTGATGGCTGAAGTTGATAATCAGATTCACATAGATGTTCCGAGAACCAATCCTGGGATAGCTTTATACCAATATGAGACGACGCAGCAGGTAATTTAAAGCCGGTTTTTGTATTCTTGGTACGATCAGTTACTAATACTTGGTCGTAGTGTCTAGAACGTATCCTTTATGTGTGGGCAATACGGCATCCTGCTAGTGGATATGTACAGGGTATCAATGATCTTGTCACTCCGTTTTTTCAAGTTTTCTTGTCTGCGTATATAGGTAATTATCTGTTTGAATGCGTGTCATTGGGTGACAGTATTACGTGTATTAATAAATTGATTGATTGAAGATGCCGATCCATCAACGTACGACGTTAGCAAACTACCCGAGGACGTATTGAACGTAATCGAGGCAGACTGCTTCTGGAGTTTATCCAAACTGTTGGATGGGATTCAAGTGAGTGGCCTTGACGTATTATCGCACTTGATGTGATCTATTGCACCTGCCATAATACTGCTTTATTATTCAATACAGGATAACTATACATTCGCACAACCTGGCATACAAAGACAGATAATGAAACTCAAAGAACTGATCAATAGAATAGATGGTGGGTTCTCGTTTCTAAAAAGATGTCAAAGTTATATTTATGCAATTACATATTCACGACTGTCTGTAAATTTCATTCATAAGCTCCACTAGCAGCACATCTCCAAGAGGAAGGTATAGAGTTTATCCAATTTACATTTAGATGGATGAACTGCTTGCTTATGAGAGAGATGTCACTCAAGAATACGATACGCATGTGGGATACGTATATGGTACGGCAGACATCAAATATGGACTTGAATTCAAGCAGTAATCTTTGTTTCTAATTCAAAAATTTCAAATAATTGTTGCTGCAGGCTGAGGGACCAGAAGGATTTTCCGAGTTTCATCTATATGTCTGCGCTGCATTCCTTCATAAATGGTCAGACCAATTGAGATCAATGGACTTTCAGGTGAGAATTCGCCAACACGTGGTGTCCTCTCTTTTTTTATCAGAGACTTAATGAGCATTTCACAAATTATTAGGGAATAATGATGTTTCTTCAATCGCTTCCTACTTCTCATTGGACGGAAAAAGACATCGAAATGCTGCTTTCTCAGGCATTTGTATGGAAGAGTATGTTCCACCACGCTCCCAACCATTTGGCAAAGACATAATATACAAACGTGGGAAATCTCATTTCGTTTTTAGACTGTATTAGTTTCCGTAAGCATTAATTTGATCTAGAATTTATAAATGATACATGATACGTATTGTAATAACGCCAGACAATATTAATAGGACGATGTGTTGGCAAATAGATGACGAGAAATTTTCGAGCATAGGAATAGAATATTCATATTTTTGTATAAGTAAATTCAGTTTTCTTAAATCACCGTTGGGTATTACTATCTGCCATGTTAGTATGATGACGGGCATTTCTCGCCCGAATATTGTGACGAAAAGATAAGTTTATGAACTCAGCTTTATGTGGTTGCCAGGATATACAAACAGACAAATCCCAGATTGGGCCAGAACATATATCTCGTCCAAATAACAACGCGTGGATAGTTAATTAGCCAGAGGGAGTGCTGCGCCATAGTGCTTCAAGATCAAGCGCATTGTGCTACCTTTCGGACTTCTAAGATGAATAGTATTCGGGGAGTTCTCATAGACCTTTCAGGAACATTGCATGTTGGCGGTGTAGTATGTTTCTATCAACAATTCTTCTCAATTACTTTTGATCAAATGCTTTACTATGATTTATCGAATATAGGCATGTGAGGGTGCTGTGGAAGGGTTGAAGCGACTACGTCTGGCGAACGTACCAGTAAGTTGAAGCCGTTAATCATAATCATTACTAGACGCAGCATTCATACTTTGAAATCTTAATGTAGTTTCGCTTTTGCACCAATACAACCAAAGAAAGTTGTGAAAAATTACTGAAAAAATTAACAGGACTTGGTTTCGAAATCCATAAAAATGAGGTAAAGTATATTGTAGAAACAATTCTCCGTTACGATCGTTATCAACACTATGTGGCTAACATTCTTTCTATATTCTTTACGAAAATGAAAGATATTCACATCTCTTATCGCGTGTAGAAACTTGGTACAATCGCGTAAATTGAGGTAGACTGACAATCCATAAACTTTATAAACAATACGTATTGAGATTGATAACATTATATGCAGGCCAATGTTGTTTCTCGAGGAAGCAGCAATGGAAGATTTTAAAGAAATTGACACATCCAAGCCGAATGACTCGGTGGTTGTTGGATTGTCCCCATCAAAATTTAACTATGAAAAGGTGCATTGAGATTTGTTTTGGGTGAATAATTCATTAATGATATGTTTGCAATAATTAGACGTGTACGTTATATTACTGGCTCGATATTCATTACCTATTCATTTTCACTAATTTCCTTTATTCTTGATTAATTTGACAAATCATAGTTGAATGCAGCTTTCCGGATTCTAATATCCAATCCGGACGCCCCGCTAATTGCAATCCACAAGGGCAAATACTTTGCTGAAAACGACGGTCTATCCCTCGGACCTGGTGCATTTGTCGAAGCACTAGAATACTCAGCCAATGTGAAATCAACCATTGTTGGTAAACCCGAGAGAAGCTTTTATGAACTAGCGTTAAAAGATATGGGACTGTTACATGAGAGCGAAAGAGTTGTGATGATTGGTGATGATATTTTGCAAGACCTCGGAGGTGGTGCCCGAGAATTGGGATTGATTCGATTTCTGGTTAGGACGGGAAAGTATAGACCAGATGATGAACAGAAAGATGGCAGTATTAATGGTGTATTTGATAATTTCGGAGAGGCCGTTGATAGGATTTTAAAAGGTCTAGAGCAACTAGTCAGCTAATAGTGTTGCTGCAATATCGTTTGGATTAGGTTGTAATTCAATAGATCGAGAAATTTGAGCTAGTCATTATATACTAATACGTGATTTGCGAATTTAATTCGTTCTTTTTTTTTATTGGTTTATTCACTGTTTTTTCAGACTACGCAATCTTATAAACATAGATTCGTGAAAATAAGGAGTTACGAGAGTGGGAACTCACTCCATGGAGCGAAGATCCGCACGAATGTAGATACGATGATAAGCCCCATGTTTATGAATAGAGCAATATTGCGTTTAGGGTTAGCCCGCCCGTAAATACTATTTTCTTTAACATACGTGCGTAATTTCAATGCATTCTTACGTGACGCGTGCCCACGAATACAAAGGTTGATGTTGGCCAATAATTATATGACACCACAATTTCTATTGCTGTTGGGTTGTGGGGATTTAATTCAGACCGATATGTTTTTATCGTAATGAACATTACTCTAGAACAAATATACTATAATAAGAAGAACATAGCTCATAATTAGTTCTATTGTAAGAGTGCAAGTAGACTATTAAGACAATTAACCGAGCAGGTATTAAAACTGCCTGAGCAAATGGAAGAATTCTAAACCACTCAGACCAACTAGTGACGGATATATAAAATATAAAGAACGTGATAAATCGAATTTAAAGTCTATCTTCTGCTCTCGAATACGAAACTTCACTTTTCGAAGTACACGGTGAACCTGGATATAACGAAAGTTTTTCGATAACAAAGTTTTTTTGATATTTTTCTCTAATAAAATTTCCTGGATATAATAATAACGAAGTTAATTAGGAAAACCTGGTTATTGGCTATAACGAAGTTTAAATCTGTCAACTAATAAGAATATAACGAAGTTTTTCGATAACGAACTTCACTATATTATAACGAACTACATTGTATTATAATATATTATAATAAAGCTCGATAATCTTTACCATTATTAGTAAATAAATATGCATCCCACAATTCATCACCCCCAACTCACGAAACTTCATACTTATGTTTGTATTGACTCTCATCATAATGGTTAACAATGATGCGACAAAACTTGTTAAGAACAAACGCCGCGCGCTTAGGGTATACAAAAAGAATTTGAATGTTGATAATTCTGTTATAATCACTCTTTCTCTCAAAGTGTAGAATTAGCACGACAAACTACTCTTGAGGAATACGCGACATTCGATGTTAGTACTGCATAAAATTCTGCGGTTTCACTGACCAATCAAATTTCTGTTCAAACAGTATGCCTACAGTATCTCTAAAAAAGAATTGTACTGGTTTATATAAAGTAATACCAAAAATATCAAGAATAGTCAAAAAGAAAACCAAAAGTGGGCCTTGTTGTGTTTCAGAACTATTAATATACTGCGTTTCGGAATGTTAACATGGCAGGTGTTAAAATGTCGACTAACCCATCTGAAATAAACAATAATGTTTCTGGTTCGTAACTTTTGTATATGACTAGTTACTCTTTTTATTGTATTCTAATCGCTCGTATATCCGAAGATTCTGGTCTCGAAAAAAATATTGAAAACCTGAGTTTGAAGGACTCATCTGACTTTAAGAACGAGAAACAAAAGAACCAGCTTCTAAATCTGAAGCGGTTGTTGATATCAATATGGAATTCACTTCAAACCCGGTAACAAATAATGAAGTTGTTGAAAGTGACCTCGAAAAGTTCGCAGAAAGACTAGGGCTCAAAGAATTCACCGAAAATAAAGACGAATGGAAGAAATTTTACGGTATGCAGAAAGTCTGATCCAGCTTGATTGCATTTTTACTAAATATCCTTTGTTTAGTCTTCGCTCGCTCAGATTTCGTTTGGCCTCCAAAAACGGGAATTAATGAACATCGCTTAATTTTCGATTATGTTGTTGATTCAGAGTGGGTTCCAGGGGGGAACTTGCCAAGAATGCACTCGAATATCGTCGTCTACTCTCATCCGGGACTCTTGATCCATAGGAAAGTACGCATATATTAATCGTTCATGGGTAATCGGTTAGGTACGAAGATGAAGAAGATATGATGGAACAATACCCGGGTGTTATTATGTACCTGTTGTTGAACGTATTGTCAGGTTATGATAATAAAAATAAAGAATGGCAGGTTTGTATTATGGGTATTATTATTTGATATCTTATCCGTCATCATTTTGCCAAATATAGGTGCATATTGTAATTTAATAATAGCGATTTATTATTATTATTAGATATCTGACGTAAAGACGTAAATTTAGTGACGTAATCAATATTTAGTAATAGCTATGGACCATTTAGATTTTAGAATGGCTATACCGCAGTAGCAGTTTAGATATATAAACAACCAAAGTTCGAATAGTTTTCCACTTAGGATTTGGTCGAAGGCTCCAACGGAACAACTAATAAACTTACGATTGGAAATATTCAACTGGCTTTCACTATGATCTCTAGTGTCATCTCTAATGGCACAAATTCACTCTAGCTTTCGACATATACTGGACTTAAAGTTTACAGCGTCGAGAGTTGTACGAACGATTATCGACGAAATCCCAGCAACGTTCTCAATAATACGATTATACTTACAACAACACCGCTCGTACAACAATATTTGCCTTAGAAAGACTTGCACTGTTGCAGGCTTTTACATCCGTGCGCCCTGTATTCCTGGACCGTTTCAAGAACTATGAAGTCCGCCTCAATCAGAAAGTCAAGAATACGAGGCAAAGGCCTGATTTGTAATCGATACTGGCGCAACAATGACTGTGATCCCTCACTTTATGAGACAGAAATTATATAGTAGCAAAGATGGTTGGAAAACAACTCCTATTGAAGCTTCAGGATATGGTGCTGGCGTAAAGGTTTTTCAGGCTTCAAGGAACTGGCTAATTCGCTTAGGTGATGGGTCCAATTGGTCCAACTGGGTTACGACAAACGAAATTTATACTTGGCAAGTAAATCCAACTGCACTACAAACCATGTAGGCACCCTTATATGTTTCTTAAAACGATGTTATCGACCAAATACAACAAATTATAGGATCTGAATATTTGGATCTTCTATGAATAATGGCGAAGTATATGTATTCATATCGAAATTAAACAAAATTTCGGGCTCATAATTTTCTAATTAGTATGTGGTCGTATATATTGGGGGAAAAGTGTGTATAATGATCAAAGCTTATTTAATAAGACCCAATTCCTGAAGATGCTCTGGAATAACTACGTATGGGTCTTCGTAATACCAAACACACCTTAAGGCAATACAGTTTTCTTCGCATAATTCTTTCTTGAGTTGATCCCGCTCTTGCTGTTTGATAAAATTATTGCATGAAAGAAAAAATTTCTATATATTTTTCGTGCTGTTCTCCTTGTACTTCGGTTGCAAATCCATATTGTGGGTAATAAATGTCAAGTTCTAATCCAGTTGGGTAATCTAAAGTTTTAAGAAAACAGGTCGACGTATCTTAGATGGCGGTCCAAGATATTGTGACATAATATAAGGTCAAAGATACAACTCCAGGAATTCGGACACAACCTAGCACCTTCAGTCAGTGAAAAGGCCAACTCTCCAGACTTGACCAAAGAAAGTTTGGATGCAACCTAGCCTTTGTTGTTATAGTCGCCAATAAAAATAATTAAAAAATGAAGTTCTAACCTCAAATAATTTCAGACAATCTGATGCCAACCAGATGAAGTCAAAATTTAAAATGAATTATCTTTAATCGAACGAAAGTCTTCAGAGGATAAACGCGAACGAAAACTTTGTACGTATATTATATAAGCACTAATTCGTATTACAAAATCAAATCCTGCGAAATTTTACTATCGTCACGGATAATATTATACGCGAAACCCTTAATTATATAAGGCAGGTGGGCCAGATAATTAATCACCACATGTTATCAAGCAATCAACATTATTTTGCAATCATCGCTTGCATTTCTTTAATTCAGTATCAGGCGGACATTTTGATATTGCCGAATACAACATAAGGCGATTGTCAATGATGTCTAAATTCATTGTCATTACAGATGGCACGCGATTGACCTGTTTATAACGAAGCTACAAGGAAATTGTATAAGACTCCATTATAAAGAGGAAACCTGGATATAGTGAAGAAAAGTGGCGGAACAGACCACTTCGTTATATCCAGGTTCACTGTGTATAAGGAGGGGTTACATAAACTCTACCCCCCCATTGTTTATGGGTAGACCGCAGCAAACCTTTGCTACAATTGATCAATAAGATGTCTGCTAAATATGTAACAAACAAACTCGTAAATTTACAGCGCTTATGTTCATCCTCCTGAGTGAGTGAAAAACGGAATTATCTTACCTGTATTCAACTAAAGTCATTCCAGTGGCTTGTGTCGCCAGTGGAATGTCAAATGTCAGTAGACTTTCATCGTGAAAGGTGGCTACGAAAAGAATGAAAATAATGATATTTATCAGCACATCTAACTGTTTTACGAGGAATCATGATGATTGTTCCAGTTTCTTTATACAATTTATCTAGCGGTAAAACTAATGCCCTGGATCAATCTTTAGAAATTGGACGAGCATGAAACTTACGCCTCGTTTATTTCATTTGATAACAACAGCCAATCACCAACCGACACCACATCCAAAATCAACGGATGACATTATAACCTTGGATGCTAGCGAAGTTGGAAAGACGAGCGCATGCAACTGCAGCTTCACATAGTGCCAAGGTTCCTACACATAGGGGCACCCGCTTACTTATGGATGGGCTATGATATTGGGGCTATCATCATGTCGTACATCGCGGTAATTCTTACGTCGAGCTTTTATGAAGTTGTCTTGGTTGTTTGTCTTTTTGTTAAATATGAGTGTATTGACGATTCATCATTCGCGTAATACCATCGATAAGCAGTGAAATGAAGTAACGTTTTAGTTCTTACAGTGGTGTCAGATTTCTGCTTTTATCGCATCTCTAGGATTCTTGGTGCGCTATCGCGTCTATTAAATACCATTATCCAAACTAATTGTCCACTGAAAAATAATTACTATCCGATTGATAGTGAAGCTTCACTGCCAGGTGAGCCGAGCTCGAATGTAAATAACTATGCCACTTTATTCAGAAACGATTATCATCAAACTCATTACCAGTTTCATAAACTTTAGATAATTGGTTCTCAATATTTGCTTTGTAATAAATAATGTACTCTA